CACACTCCGTGCTACTACTGAGAACAAATGCAGAACATAAATGTGTTTGTTAAATTAGTTCACTGACCACCATCGAAGTTATCTGTTATTGTCAGAACATGGATTAGCATTGATGAATCTCTAGCAATAATGGACCTCACCTTAAGCGAAGTTATTGTTTAGAACCCGATGTGTCACTTAATTTGAATAGTTTTAATCTATATTAATAAGGAAAGTAACATTATTGCAATAGACAATACCTGTTTATATCATTTTGTAAAAATAACAGTAAGGTCTAAGACGGATCTTAATTAGGACATTTCAAGTCAAATTCTTATCAAAATCTATACATTTATCATGAAGATTATCCATTCAGATGTTTAAAAGACGTATTTTGGAGATTGTTTACAAAATCTGAAATTATTTTTTAACCAAGTAATATTGTTTTTGTGGAAACATTAGCAAAATAGTAGTCCCACAACTCTCCAAACCCATAGTTCCCCTACAGTCGCGTCTGGATACTTTTACTCGCATTCCTAATACATCGGCGCGGACGTAGTTTTCACTCGCCACGACTAGCATACCAAGATGGCTGTGATTTACTACCGGTGGTAACCGGATAATTATATCTAAGGGCAGTTATATATTACTTGTTTTTATTGGTATTAAATTGGATTATGTTTTTAGTCATTCGTTTTGTTTTTATTTGTTGGGTGTTGTTTTTAGTAGTTGAGTCTTGTAATATGGGAAAATGGATGGTTAAATCACCACAAGACGCAGATTTGCGTTCATTTTTCACCAGTAGAATATATTGTTGATTATGTCTAATTTTAATCCTGTGTAGGTTATAGTTCAGCCAGCCAGTTCTAGCTGTGCTGTTTACGAGAATTTCGAAAATAGGCAGCTCAAACAAAACTTCACATCCGTCACAAAACATCACATTGAACCACAAGCCCAGAAGAACCTCTGCTTAACAGTTGCGCTTGCGACCTCAATCAACAAAACAACAAAGCCTTACCGAAAAATAACTTCATACAACAACTCAATTAACTTAATGACGTCATAATTCATAGCATGAAATTGTACTTAGGCTGTAAATAGTACCACCCAAGTATCGTAATAGCACACATTACGAACTAGTACTAAATAGAGTTATTATACTAGATGAATCAGTGCCACGTGTACCAGCTTGCAAGTAATCACCGTTTTATAAACAATAGGTGATCACCACTAATATATGCACGTGTGTCACAGATGATTAATCACAAGACAAGTTTGGTGGTGAAGATGGTCCTATGGGCATCAACAATGGAGTTTTTATTGCCATTACAGTGTTCGGTATGCTTCAAACGTTTCGCATTGTGACTGGATTATTGAATAGTAGTCGGTGATTGTTTTTGTTTTGTTTCACTTTCGAAAACTTATATAAAGCAGAATGGTAATGAATAACTATTGCTATGTAGAAGATCCGATGACCATCGAGGTTTTGTTGAGGAAATAATACTATATGTCCCTATTATTGGATTCTTTCCCGATATGAATGGGATCGTCGGTAGAAGGCGCCCTAGACGAACATATCGACCAGATTTGCGATATATAAAGAAGGGTCAAATTAAAAGTACCCTTAACCGATGAAGGTAGTAAAAAAGTGGAAGAGGTATGTAAGAATCGTAGCATTTGGCGTTCCTTAAACTTTGCTTACCTCCATGAATGACAGGCGTGAGATTGTGTATGTATGTACTTCCCTAGTATAGTCTCTAGTCCCTCAAAAACTAGATGTTTCTCCACGCTACCAATAAAAATGTAAGGACTGTATTTTCACGGCTGCCTACTGAGGCTACACTTTTCTCCATAAATAATAATAATCTCTCTCGCTCTCTTAAAATCCCTGGATTGTAGGTACTTCATTATTACCACGTAGTAATTTCACGCACAATTTAATGGAAGGTCCAAAACAAAAATGTTACGAAAATGTACAGAATCGGTACGTGGGTGCAACCGTGGGGCAGAACTAATTTGTAATAAGGCAGGCAGCGGTGTAAAATTAGCGTTCCAGCAATTTTACGTTTTATTTTTTGACATTTTAAGTATCGAGTTTCTAATTGTGGACGATATTTATTTTAGGGAATTCAAATTAAACCGACCACTTTTGTTATTTTCATAAGTAATACCTACCTACTGTGAGTGTGACCTAAAACTGATCACCGAAGGATGGGCAGCAGCATCTTTTAACCTTTCGGAAAACTAAATGCAATCCTCAATTCAAACTACCTGCCAAGCATGAGAATTAAAGCAAACCCTTTCTTAAGGGACTTGCTCAGCAGATGACGAATTTTGTTGATAGTGATGACGGATTTCTATCATCGCTATTCAACAATACATGAAAAACTAAATGCATCCAAAAGATAAGCTACATCCAAGTATAAAGAAGCTCTTTACTCTAGAAAACAGCGTTCCCAAGCCATTTACATTTCACCCACATCCCGACAGAACTCATAAGCACGATGTTACGTAAATCTTGAATGAATTATGTAGCACGCGGTAGGAAGCAAGAATATTCTATTTCTACAATGTGTCAGAGGTCGTAATCTCCGTCTTGTACCGTATCTCTAGTGGCATCGTTCATCACTGTCCACACTTTGAGATTTCTCTTCTTATGCTGTGGATTGGTGTAGTAGCCGACTCAACCAGGGTTGGCTACTGTGCTGCATTTCGGGATATAAAATGATTTTAGGTAAGTTACCACTAAGTACTAAGGGGCCTAGAAATTGGACTGTGTATATATAGCTACCTATTATATCTTGGATAACATTGAAAGTTATGAGCAATGGTTGTTATACGAATATCTATGATAGATACTATGTTATGATCAGTAAGAAGTCTAAAAACGAGTCCAATCAAGAGTGTGGTACTGGTGACCAAGAATTTTAGGGGGTTTTGGAGGGCAGATGTCAATTGCTCCATGTAAAATACTTAGTCGAATTTAGTTAAAACCCAATAACGACCTTCAAACTACTTGGGAAAGCCAGGAGACAGAAGATAAACTCTGCAGCATGTCAATTGAGAAAACTTCGATCTTATCTTAGAAGATACAAATCGTAGGAAGTTGGTAACGATGTGTCTCCGGTGTGAATTGAAATCGTACTTGGATATCAGAATTCGTTCTGATTTCTGAGGCTGATAGTAATAATGTGGAGATAGATACTTAGTAGAGACTTATAAATATTTTTCAGCCATGATCATCCCACTGCAGGGCAAAGGCCTGTAGAGACTTAAAAGATTATAATATTATAAATCAGAATATGGGCGTTAAAAGCCCCAAATAGTCTTAAATTGTACTTACTATAATGCACTTACTAGCACTTTCACAGAAAATATTAAGTTAATATTACTCTGAATGGATTGAGTGAGAAAATTGAATCAGAACAGATTTTGTCTCAGCATATTAAGATAACCCCAAATCTCAGAAACCGCAACGTTAAACAAGCCATAAACCTCTACAAATACTTGTACCAATAAACACGACAAAGCCTTGAAAGTTGCTCTACCTACGACCTCGAAAATAGATAATTCAAAAAGGTTACGTGCCGAAAGGTACTCGACAACGTGGTTCATAAAATTGTAACGCTTTTCAGCGCTTCCGTTTTCATTACACAAATTCAGTACGGTTTTCCTCGAAGCAAAAAGCCTATCGAGACAGCTATGAAATATAAACAAAAAGACATGCGTTCCTATTTAAGTTTGTTATTTCTTGACGAAATGTGAATTGTGATTTTATTATCGAATTGTTTAGTTTGTTTTAGTCTTAGCGGTATTGTCATGGAATTTATAAGTGAAAATCTATTTTTGTTTAAAAGAAAGAGGGAAGATCTTTCCTGTTTGGGTTTGTGTAGGAGTATTGTTATTTTACGATGAAGCTAGTAAACTGGGAAGGATTTTTTTAGAGCTCTGCTTGGTTGGAGCTGTACTGAACATGTAGCTTACCTACCAAGTTGTTCCGTGAATAATGAAGTAATTCCGCACTTAATATCCCTTCTATGGTATAAGACGACTACAATTCCTATCCTGATAAAAATAAAGACAATTTTCAAATGAGACTCCTCAAACCGCATGCAAAGAAAGATGCAGAACATAAATCTGATTTATTTATTCAAAGATATGGCAAGGTAAGCCAAATATCGTGACATCATCGTTTTAATAAGGACAAAATTGATCACACCCAATTTGTTTTTGTCAAAGAAACCGCCTATACTGGTCTTCTGAACTTTATGACAGACAAAATACTATTTTTTTGCTATTTCGGTCGTTTTTATGACATCATCGTCTAATATACTATCGTTCTTTGATGTTTCTTATACAAATATAGTTTGTGGAACTGGAAATATTTAAATTATTATAGTAGACAAGTAAAAGAAGAATGTAGGACATATTTTTTTATGAATGTAGGTTACATTGATTTACAAGTGGGAGTGAAAACATTACACCCATAAAATATATGGTTTATATTCCTTTTTTTAGTTAGTTACTTTACAAAATAGGTACTTGAAGACTGATTTCTATACATCATTAAAAACAGTATAGCAAATAATCTAGCAATAGGACTCGGTTTACATTCATACGCTACCGAATGCTTCATGCTGAAAATGACCTTAATATTCTGATAGAAACCTATTTAAAGCCTTATTTAAGTGGGGCATTGAGAAAATCGATCGTTATAGTTAAAATCAATTTATTCAAATAGCATTTCTATACAACATTATATTGACACCGTCAATCCACACGATATTCATCCCTATTATCATTCCAAGCTACCACTTACCACCAACTTGTTGCTTAGCAAATTACTGTTTACCATCACAACTAGTGGTTCACTGCTAGTCATAAAAATAATGTGATCCTAACAGCTTGTTGGTACTTAGCGGTAATTCTGGCCACTCAAGTGTTTACCTTAATGGTTTACGAGCATCAAGGGAATTTGATTCAATTGCTTGCCCATTAAAGCGAGTGTAAAGTATACTTGCCTTTCTTAGAACTGTGGGCTTTCAATGCTGTTTTCGACTTCTGTAGTACCTGGGGATAGAAGAAAATTTTCGTTAGTATCTATCAGTTGAATTTTCGATCACTTTCACATTAATACTTAAGGTGGTCATAGCAAAAACAAGAATATTGCAAATCGGACAATAAATTCCCGAGATACGCAGTAACATATATGCATAAAAAGTAAGTGTGGTCAAACTGCTAACCTTCTCTTTTTTGAAATCAGCTAAAAGTAGCCTATATAGTGATATAGGGGATATAGGCTAGTATTTCAGTTTATATATTTTTATAATTTACATTTTGTAGCTAGAGAGTGCTCTAGTTACAAAACGCTCTGTCGCGATGTGACATAAAGATAGTAAAACAAATGAACACAGTTTTCCATTTAGAATATTAGTAAGGATCTCATAAGCTCGTTGCAGTCTAAATGTAGTGCTAAGCTAAATTGGTATAACTTCAGTGTAGCTTTTGTTTTTGTTAACTTAGTTTTATAGTAAGCTTGGTACCTCGTAAATGGGTAGAAATAGTCAGTAACATAAACTAGGTAAGCCAAGCTTAGCTTTTCGTTTGCAACTGGCTTAATTTGCATTTTGAAATACGTAAGTTTCAGTACTGATCATGTTTCGAGGAAAATACTGTTGTATGTATATATATTCTCGGGTACCAAAAATCTGATGCAGAAGCAATATGTAGTTTAGAATGGTCACTATTGAAATAGGTTCGTTTTCAATTATACGGAACTTATTATGCAGGCGAAGTATGCCTGATACGTTTAATACGTTTTAAGTGTGGGAAAACCATGTTTCGGCACGAAGGGGCCGGCTCGACCGGAGTAATACCACAGTTTTAAAGAAAACCGACGACGTGGAACAACACTTTGGTTGTTTCGTCGTGAAGTTATTGGTGGCCCAATTATTCCCCCCTCCTATTACCCAATCTCCCTGAATCAAAGTAATCCTCAAATTCCTGATCCCCAGAAGGCCGGTAACGCATTTGTGTAACGCTTTTGGTGTTCCAGGTTTCCATGGGCGACGCCGATTGCTTACCATCAGGTGATTTGTAGGCTCGTTTACCGGCTTATCCCATAAACAAATATGGATGCGAAGCATCTTCTCTTCAGGGGCTTAAAAACTAGTATTGGACTTTAAAACTAGCGTGTTATTACTGTTCTTTTATTTTATTATTTGCCCATTGATATTCTGACTGTCCAAATGTCCATATGTTTAATAACAGATAGTGCAATGCTACTAAAGGTTCTAACAGTTTCTGGGTCATAAGATCTTAGATCTCTTCGATCAGGGATGTTCAAACATAGACCCGCGGGCCGCATTTTGGCCGCCCGCAGCCTGTTTTCATGTGGCCCGCGACACACATTTTAATCTTAACACCTTCATCTTATGTGCAGCAACAATAATAATATATGATTTGTATACAAATTTTGTCTATGAGTAAAGAATGTTAAACGTCATTATACAACGTACCTATAATAATTTTTCCGGTCGTCCAGCTTTTGAAAGATATTTAATTAGCCCGCGAGGGTACATAGTTTGGTCAGCCCTGTCTTAGATCATAACTTCGAATATTAATACCAGTAATACCGATATGTTATCGAAATATTTCATACATTTTATGATATTAGTTGATGACACTTAGTAGCTTTGATTTCATAAACCTATGTACCTCTATTATGTAAATCGGTTGCTGGTAATAGGACATTAGATTGTCTGGTATTTAAATCGTTGTTTGTATTTGGTCTTCCTTTCACTTGTGTAATGAAAGGTGGTTTTACATTTATATGGATGATACTTAAGCATTACTTTATTATTAGTAATTGTGATTTGATGGTCGTTATTAGAATTGAGATTTAATTAAGTAAATATTATATTGAAAATCTGACTGCCTCGTTGGCCGGGTGGTCGCAACTGCGACTGCCGGGCAAGGGGTCTCGGGTTCGATTCCCGGGTCGGGCAAACTATTACTGGGTATTTTTTAAAAAATGCAGTAGTAGCAGTTAGCACGACGTCTGGAATTGTGCCCGGTATAAGGCAATAGGCTCACCCCTAGAACATGGGACTTATAACATAAATAATGAAAAGTGGGTGTTACATTGTACAGTGGTATAATGTGCACCTCTGCCAACCTTTGCGGGGATAAAAGGCGTGATGTTATGTTATGTTATATTGAAACATTCATCATAGTAACCAGTCGGACACCCGTAACACCACATCATTCGCAAATGCGTCAACGGCGTTAAACTGTCGAACACCAAGCGGTCACCGGTGACCGCAACCTATTGTTCTATAATTGTGTCTATAATGACGGTACTCGACGAGTTAAAAAAGGAGCACGATATTTTCTTGAATATTGAAGTTTACACCTTTTTAGCTGACTTACAATTAATATTTTTTTCAAAATGATTGTCATATAATAAACAATCCAACACCATTTCATAAAATCTCAACGTTATGGTAGTGAAATTAGCAACTTAGCCGTCTTTTTAGGGGTAACCTAATTATGTATTAAAGAGAACACCCCTAGAGGGCTATTCAAAACAATTTTGTATTGTAGCGTTGTTGAAAGCTTGCGTTGAAACAAAAAATTATATTAAACGTCTTTATTATTTTTGTGGTTGCATTAAACAACAGATGATTAAATTCGTTCCTCGATTTAGATGAAATTGATTTTGTCATTGGTATTATAGCGTTTTATAATATTAGCATACCTACCTTAGTCTCGGATTCGGATTGTTTTTTCAATGGATCCTTTATGCTTTCTTTTGGAAACCATACTTAATGTGTAATGGATCGCCGTTTGGCTACTATCTCGCCTAGTGGTAAACAATGCAGCCTACGACTACGATGATCATAGACTTACTGTTAAATTAAATGAGTCTTATTTATCTTTGTTACATTATGAGTAATACACCATAATACCTAATTGCAATAAATAAGCTAGATTTTTTTTTTTAGGTATGGTCCCACAGTAGGGCAACGGCCTCTCTACCCTCCTTCCACCTAACGTCGTCGCGGAGAACCTAACGGGTAACCGGGGCTCCGGCTCGACGTGCAGGAGAAGGAACGGGGTGGTTTTTAGTCAGTAAGAGTCTGACACTCCCTCCCGCCTCACCCAGGCGGGAGCAGTCATTCGATGATTTTCCCCCCTTAAAAAATAAACAACCCTCCTTCCACTCGTCTCTTCTTAAAGCTTTCTGTGGCCAATCCTTTCCATAGGCGTCAAGCTCATCCCGCCAGATTCCTAGTATTTATTTATCTATTTTTTATTACTAGTTATCCAATTACCATAACAATGTACAAAAGGATGTAGGCATCCGATTACATTATAATACCTAATTAGGTCTTAATTTAGTACCTAACTTGTTTTGAATACTAATAAGGGTCCTTAGTTCCTTACTTTGATTGTTTTCCGATCACATATTTATGACTTTCCTATGATCATAGTTGGAATAAATATTGACTGATATTAATAATATTTCCTGTCGCTCTAGACACTTAGGTAAATAGGTAAATGTATAGGTCGTTGTTCTTTGGTAGTCTTAACCGTCTGCGGCTGACGTGTAGTCCCACAGACACCGCGAAATACAAAATCACGTGTTATACCGTCATTTTTCAAATACGAGCATCACTGCTGCGAGTACCTTACTGTATAGTGCTCGCTATACTTTAATTCTACAAAAATATTTGCTGTTGAAATGGTGTCTGGTATAATATACACCTCAGTTGAATTGTAACAATTTAACCACGTCTGTTGCAGAGGGTTAAATGACCATTGACTGAATGATTTCAGAGCATTTTCGATATTTGATATTCAACTGTGATGAGTTTAAGAGATGTTCATGTGAATAATATGGGCCTCTACTCTTCATATTATTTTGGAGACTTAATTTATTGATACATTGAAACTTCCATCCAACACTTATTGTTGCTTTTCAACTGATTGTTACTAACCCCAAAAGACTAAAACTACAAATCTTCCTCAAACCAGACCACATTCCGCAACGACGACAGGCATTTCATTACCATCTTTATTTCAAAACCATTAAAGTTCCTTTTCAATTATTTCCTTTATAATCAGGTGGATATTTTCAATACCTATTTCATTTAAAACAATACATTAGGAATGTAGGTACTATTTACTGAGCTGTCATCTTTGATCTCAAGAACACTCGGATGAACAGACACGTGTTTGCTTAATTAGAAAGATCATAGGCGTAGATGGAATGTGATTTCGAAGTAGGTTATGAGTTGTAGCTTTAGTATGAAGAGAATTAAATTAGAATAATTTATGTTTTTTATGGGGATAAGCTGGTATACGAGCAGACGGATCACCTGATGGTAAGCTATCGGCGTCGCTCATGGACGCCCGGAACACCAGAGGCGTTACAAGTGCGTTACCGAGGGATTAGGAATTTGAGGATTATTGGGGATTCAGGGATTGGGGAGAATTTTCACAATATCTTCTCCAGTCTAATCTATTTAAGGTCAATTAAGAACGGCACAATGTCTTCTTCCTCCATTGTCCCTTACAGACGATCTCCTATCAGACAGGCTTTCCTTTTTCCATTTTCCTGCGTAACTGAGGCTCGTCCACTTCTCGTCCCCTTCATCCTAAGTTCTAGTTAGTAGTAGTTCTAATTATTCATTAACGAATAAATGATAATCAGGTTTTGGCTACCCATGTTCTCTAAAAGAGTTTCTATTAAGGCTCTCTTCTCATTGGACGAGGAGCTTATCTGCGACTGTTATTGAGGAAATTCAATATAAGTACATATGTGCATGACATACATAGATGAGTTTTATTCCAATCTCTTCCTACATCAGCTAAAATATGAACATTCTAGATCATATTTACCTTAAGCAGAGGGAAGTTTTATATCCCTGTTTGACTACGAATGCCTAAGTCTTGCATAATTTTATTAGTTTTATGCCCGTGTTGTTTGTGAAGCACAGATCTTAGGAGAAATATCATGAGTTGGCTTTTTCTTGTTACAATATTTGTGTTCCAGATGCTTATGT